GGGGAACAGCAGAAAAATAAACACACACAAACCTACACCCCCTCCCTTCGAGCTCTGTTGTGCATCTGGGGGACCTGGGAGTGATGATGGTCAGAAGCTGTTTCCTCTCAGAGGTAGATGTAATCTGCGATCACTCCTGGTTCCTCTCTGCCTGTTGCTGCAGAAATGACTCCTCAGGTGGGACAGGGGGAACAGCAGAAAAATAAACACACACAAACCTACACCCCCTCCCTTCGAGCTCTGTTGTGCATCTGGGGGACCTGGGAGTGATGATGGTCAGAAGCTGTTTCCTCTCAGAGGTAGATGTAATCTGCGATCACTCCTGGTTCCTCTCTGCCTGTTGCTGCACAGCACAAGTGACTCCTCTGGAGCCCACAGCAGAGTCCCCTGCTCCCCATTGCACCCTCAGCCAGCACCGACCCAGGATCACGCCAGGATCTGCATAAAGGTCTCCCTGGAAGGACAGAGGTCATTTGAGGGACTACGGTCTGACTAATGGAAGAGGTTCTTCTAAGAGGTGTCTGTCCTGACTCCTCGCTGTCTTTTCCTTTTTGAACAGACCCCTGTGTGCTGAGGGAACAAATGTCCAACAGCAGCTCCATCACTGAGTTCCTCCTCCTGGCATTCGCAGACACACGGGAGCTGCAGCTCTTGCACTTCTGGCTTTTCCTGGGCATCTACCTGGCTGCCCTCCTGGGCAATGGCCTCATCATCACCACCATAGCCTGTGACCACCGCCTCCACACCCCCATGTATTTCTTCCTCCTCAACCTCGCTGTTCTTGACCTGGGCTCCATCTCCACAACTCTCCCCAAATCCATGGCCAATTCCCTCTGGAACACAAGGCACATCTCCTATGCGGGATGTGCTGCACAAGTCTTTGTGCTTGCCACCTTGATTATAGCAGAGTTTTGTCTTCTCACCGTCATGTCCTATGACCGCTACATTGCCATCTGCAAACCTCTGCACTACAGGTCCCTCCTGGGCAGCAGAGCTTGTGTCCACATGGCAGCAGCTGCCTGGGGCACTGGGTTTCTCCAAGCTCTCCTGCACACGGCCAATACTTTTTCACTACCCCTCTGCCAGGGCAATGTCCTGGACCAGTTCTTCTGTGAAATCCCCCAGATCCTCAAGCTCTCCTGCTCAGACACGGACTATCTCAGGGAAGTTGGGCTAATTGTACTTAGTTCCCTTTTAATATTTGTGCATTTTGTGTTCATTGTGTTCTCCTATGTGCAGATCTTCAGGGCCGTGCTGAGGATTCCCTCGGAGCAGGGACGGCACAAAGCCTTTTCCACATGCCTCCCTCACCTGGCTGTGGTCTCCCTGTTCATCAGCACTGCCATGTTTGCCTACATGAAACCCCCCTCCATGTCTTCCCCATCCCTTGATCTCGTGATGGCAGTTCTGTACTTGATGGTGCCTCCAGCAGTGAACCCCCTTATCTACAGCATGAGGAACCAGGAGCTCAGGGATGCGCTGAGAAAACTGATGCAATAGATCTTCCACTATAACCAGTAATTTTTTTTCTCCTTCTCTGCAGAGTGCCCAGAATTTATTAGAGACAAGGTCTCAGCTTTTCTTTCACTGATAATACTACTTAGAGGTGATTGCTTGGGGTCATAGCACTTCTCTTGAAGTTCTAACCTGTTGTGTCTGATTCCTGAAGAACCAGGTGACACCTCTTGCCTCCCCAATAGCATTGCCGCAATAAAAGGAGTTCTTTCCAATGTGGTGTCTGAAGGCTGGACTCTCCTTGATACAGTTTTGACTAAGAACATTTTGAAGGAATTGGATTTTCTAAGTGCCTTTCCACCTTGTTTTTAGTTAGTGTTTGGGGAATTAATCTCACAATAGCACTGGGATCCTTTAGACACCAGGCACTTAGATGAAGGCTCGCTTCTTGGTGTCCAGGAGCATTAGAATCAGTACATGAGTTCCCAGTCCCCTTCCTCAGGCTGTCCCAGGTATGATGGGGCTGATGGCAGGTGTCAGTCCACATGGAAAGGAATCTGGAGTGGTCAGGAGAGGATGGGGACACTCCATGTACTCTGGTGTGGGAAGTGAATGAAGACTCAGAAGCTGAAACACTCTCAGAGATTACTCCCCCCAGGATAAAGCACTAGAGGCAGGAACCCCCAGAGCAGGAGTGTGCAGGGCCGTGGGAGGCAGTGAAGGTGCAGCAGGCAGAGGGAAGGGAGAGTGGAGAGATGCAGGAGCTGCCTGAGGAGCCCCAGGACCAGGACTCTCCTGCTGTCCTGGGGAGCAGGGCAGGCAGGTAGGCAGAGTGGGGCAAAGAGAATTTTGGGCAGGGGATGCCCTGCAGCTGAAGGCAGGAGAGGCAGAGAGTGAGTGGCCTCTGCTGGCTCTTGGGGCCAGCTCCAGCCCTGGTGGGATGGGGAGGCTGAGAGCCCTCTCTGCCCCCAGCAGCTGCTGTGCCCTTCAGAGGGGTTGGGGCTGTGGGGGGAGTGCCCCGAGCTCTGCAGCACCCTGTGGGGAGCACAGCTGTGGGGCCAGCCCAGCCTGGGGGGGCTCTGCTGGGCTGGGCTGGGAGAGGGCAGGGGAGGTGGGGGAGAGGCAGAGAGGGGCTGGACTGGGCTGGGAAGTGCCCAGCAGAGGAAAGCCCCAATGGCAGTGGAGCTGTGGGACCATACTGGCTAAGGACCTGCTCCAGTGGGCATGTGGGGCAGAGCCAGGTCTCCTGGAGAAGGAAACCAGTCATGAGAGGTGTCGAGAGAGGAGCTGGTCTGGGCCATGTTCCCTGGCCATCCTGGGGAAGCTGCCCCAGGGCAATGGGGAGGGGAGCTTCATACTGGGGGGCTGCTGGGGGTGGGGACAGGGGACTGTGCTGGTGGGGTCCTTTCCCCACCTCATGAACACATCCTGATCTACGTGGTGCCTTCACTGCAAGGCTGTGGAGCCATGTCGGGCAGTGGGGCTTGGCCAACCCCAGTGAGGAGGTCTCCTCCTCTCATCCCACGCTTCCCAGCACAGTTTCAGCTGACAGGTGTTGGCACAGTCCCTGTGTGCTGGGTGTTGGGCGTCTCCATGGGTCCTGCTGGGATCCCATGCAGGGACCTGCAGTGTGTGTCTCTGCTTGGAGCTGGTCACTGTGGCCTGACTGCCCAGTCCCGGGAGATCCTGGCCAGGCTGTGCTTGGAGATGGGCTGTGATGGTTCTCACCCACAGCAGGAACTGAGCACCAGCACAGAAAGCTTCCCAGGGAACGAGTGCCTCACGCTGGGCTGGGTGCACATGTGAGCCCTGGGGGATGTCCTCACACTGAGATTCTTAGTGGTATGGAAGGGGAACCATCGTATTCCAAAGTAACTGGAGCTGGGTGGGACCTGTGAGTGTTGCACAAAGTCTCACACACAGAAACACTGTTTTAATAAAGAAAAACCATTTATTGGTCTCTAATGATTCCAGTGCAGTGGGGGTGCACACAGACAGGGCTCTGACACCCAATTCACCACTGCTGTCAGTAAAGTCAGAGCAGTTTCATGCTGGCACCCACGGACACCCCATGTCCCATAGCTCTTGCCAAAACTGGTCTCTAACCCAAAGCCTTCCTCAGGCAACTCCCCATAGATCAGGGGCTCAGGGACTTGTCTCAACAAATTTGACCACCCTTCTGGCCACTGCTGGAAACTCCCCACTCTGTCAAGGTCTTTCTCACTGCTGCTGCCAGAATCATGATCATGAGAGCTTTTTTGTCTTTTAGTATTTTATTTTCTTATGTTTATAGGATTACTCTTTCAGTGGTTCTCAGTCTGTCTTTTCCGTTCCTTTAGAGCCCTCCATGGAGACTTCAGCCTGCATGAATCTCTCATCCATCATGGAGGTCACCATCCCGGGACTCAGCAGTCACCCTGAGCTGTGGATTCCTCTGTTCCTGCTATTTCTGTTCCTCTCCCCCTGACCATGGCATCAAACATCTCCACTGTTGTGTTGATGATGGCTGACTGGCACCTCCTCACCCCCATGTACCTCTTCAGGAGAAACTCATCCTGCCTGGAGGCCTGCTGCAGCTCCACCATCCTGCCCAGGCTGTTGGTCACCTTCCTGAGGGGGACAGGGCCATGTTCAGGCATGTTCCCATGCCTTCAAGATGACATTCAGCTGAATCCTGGCAGGTGGGAGGGACACTTTGCCACAAACTGCATGAAATTCAACAAGAACTAGTACCGGGTCCTGAACCTGGGATAGACCAACCCTGTCCAGTGATAGGGGATGGGGATCATCTGACTGGGGTGCAGTTCTCTGGAACGTGCCCTGATGTTCCTAGGGGAACAAAAGGCCAAACACCTTCCAGCAGCATGCACTGGTTATGGAAGAAATGTCCACGGCTGTATGAGCAGGAGCGTCGCCCAAAGATGGAGAGAAGTGATTATCTCCCCTGACTCGTCACTCATTAGAGCACATCATAACACAGGGTCAACTTTTGGTCTCCCAGGACAAGGCAGATGTTAAGAAGTGGGAGCAAGATCAGCAGAGACCCACAAAGGTGCTCGGGACCTGGAGTACTTCCCAACCAGGAGAAGCTGCAGGACAGGGCATTGTCACTCTCTAGAATGGGAGGGCTTTGGACCCTCAGAGCAGCCTGCCAGTCTCTACGGAGAGGTTTTGACCTAAACAGATCCCTGTGGTGCTTTGCAGGACAGGAACAGACAGAAGTCTAGATGACGTTGAAGTAAGAAAGCTCCAGGATAGAGATAAGGGAAGCCTTTTTCCCCATTGGGGCAGATCATCACTGGAGCAGGTTGCCCAGAGGGGCTGTGCTGTCTTCACCTTTCAGTATTTTTAATTCCTTCCTGGATCAAGTCCTGAGCAACTACAGTCAAAGTCTTATGGTGATGTGCCAGCAGCTCCTGTGGTAGAAGCAATGCACAGAGAAACACCTGACAGACACTCCAGGGGGTATTCCCCTAAGAAGGCAGAGCAGCCAACAGCCGAGCTGAAGTGCCTCTACACCAATGCACGCAGCATGGGCAACAAACAGGAGGAGCTGGAAGCTACTGTGCTGCTGGAAAGCTATGATATAGTGGCCATCACTGAAACCTGGTGGGACGAATCCCATGACTGGAGTCTGGCTATTGAGGGCTACAGATTGTTCAGAAGAGACAGACGAGGAAGGTGGAGGTGTTGCCCTTTACGTCAAGGAATGGATAGAGAGCGAGGAAATGCCCCTAAAACCCTCCATGGTGTCAGATGAGAGAGTTGAGAGCCTGTGGGTGAGGATTAAGGGGCAGGTCAATATGAGGGACTATTGTGGGTGTTTATTACAGACCGCCTGATCAGGATAGAGAAGTTGATGAGGCCTTTTACAACCAGCTCCAAGTAGCCTCACAATCGCAGGTCTTGGTTCTTGTGGGGGACTTCAATCACCCAGATATCTGCTGGAAAGGCCACACAGCCAGAAAGAGGTTCCTCCAGAGTATTGATGGTAACTTCTTAATCCAGCTGGTGGAAGAGCCAACAAGGGGAGAGGTACTACTGGACCTAGTACTGATGAACAAAGAGGGACTAGTGGATGACATCAAGGTTGAGGGCAACCTCGGCTGCAGTGACCATGGGAAGATAGAGTTCAGGATTGTGGGTAACATTCAAAAAACAACAAGTAGGACTGAAACCCTGGATTTCAAGAGGGCTAACTTTGTCCTTTTCAGGAAACTGCTAGGTGAAATCCCAGGGCCCTGGAAGGCAAGGGGGCTCAAGGGAGCTGGGCAATATTCAAACATTGCCTTCTCCAAGCTCAGAACCAGTGCCTTCCCAAGAGCAAGAAACTGAGCAAGGGAAGCAGGAGACCTGGGTGGTTGAGCAGGGACCTTCTGAAAAAACTAAAGTGGAATAAGGAAGTTTACACCGAGTGGAAGAAGGGACTGACCACTTGACAGGATTACAGAGATGCTGCTAGACTATGGAGGGAAGAAACAAGGAAAGCCAAGGCCTCCTTGGAACTAAAATTGGCAAGAGATGTCAAAGACAACAAGAAGGGGTTCTTCAATTATATTGGAGGCAAAAAGAAAACTAAAGAAAATGTGGGCCTGCTGTTGAATGAGTCAGGCGCCATGGTAACAGAGGATGCAGGGAAGGCTGAGTTGCTGAATGCCTTCTTTGCCTCAGTCTTTACTGCTCGGGCCAAGCCCCGGGAGCCATGGACTTTGGATTAATCAGAGAAAGTCTGGACTAAGGAAGATCTTCCCTCGGTGGAGGAGGACCAAGTTAGAGATCAGTTAAGAAGGCCGGACATCCACAAGTCCATAGTTCCGGATGGGATACACCCAAGAGTGCTGAGGGAGCTGGCAGAAGTCATTGCAGGGCCACTCTCCATCATCTTTGAGAGGTCCTGGAGAACAGGCGAGGTGCCCAAGGACTGGAGAAAAGCCAATATCATCCCAGTTTTCAAAAAGGGCCAGAAGGAGGACCCGGGAAATTACAGACTGGTCAGCCTCACCTCCATCCCTGGAAAGGTCATGGAAGGGCTTATCCTGGATGTC